TTTTTTTCCTAATAAAATATAACTACAGAAAGGATTTCTTGTTTTCCCAATAACTGCAACAATTATATTTGTATGATGCAGTTAACCTAAACTAATTTTTTTCCGAATATTCTCAGTGGTGAAGTATTGAAGCAGCGCTAATTATTAGGTTTCCACTATTACTGGATCCATTTGTGCATTTACATTTAAGTGAAAGTTAGTTTTATTAAAATCATAGTCGATAAATAATAGCCCGTTGATATTTATTTGAGCAATTTAATATATTCATGTAATTGCAGTTGAATCGGTTAATCAGGATGGAAAGTTTTGGCTGTACATTTTCATAGCTATTATTTGGTACAACCAACATAGTTTCCAGGCATTAAAATATTTTTATGTTGTTGTATTTGCTCAGTCAAATTGTTCTCATCATAGCAATTTTGTTTGTTTTAAATTAATCACTTGTGCCGCGATACGCATACCATCCGGAGATTAGCGGTTCTCATGGATTTTGAAAACAGTCGAAGATAAATTGATGGCTGTCATAAAGAGTGAGTTGGGATCATCAAGACTAATTTTCCGAGATCAGGGATAATTTTACGCTGTAGTTGATCCAACGCCAGGAAAGAGATTGATCCCTTTGTTGTCGGGATGAGAATAAAATTAATCCAGCCAATAATGCTGTGCGAAACAGACATAATAAATGTTTGATGGGTCAGTCGGATGGTTTATAGTTATGTTTGCTGTCATAATGTGTCCTTTGGATAGATCATATATTACTCTGTACAACTTTTAGTTCGCAGTAAAGTTAAATAACTCTGTTATGAGGTTTCAAATTGGAAACTTACATTGTAATGGATATACTGTTTTGTAATAAATTCTATGTACAAAAGGCGTACGTCTGCGTCAATTAATAATTAAGTATTAAATAAAGACAAATTTCTAGAAGACTTACGGCTGAAATACATGATACATGAGCCTAAGTTCCAGCTTTAAATTCTATCTATGATCGATGGGAGAAAATTAAACATAGTCAACGTTTTCTGAACATTTTGAATACATAGTTTTGAATCCGAAGATTCTACTAAATCATGAAGGCCAAAAGTAAAATTAATTTCATTATTAACTATTGCGGAAACTCTTCTCGTGCTGACGACTAAACCATACGTACATAAAAAGATAAATAATAAATAAACCTTTCCAAGATCACAAATTTAGGAATAGACTTTGCATAATGAATTTTTTTGAGTTAAAATTATAACCACCCTATGAATGCCTCATTCATAATGCGAGGATCATGTTTTTATTATTCCCATTCAGTATCTGATTATTCATTTAATGCTTTTGGGCTTTGTCCTTTCAAAACTTTTGAACTGTTGCCCGAAAGGGCGACTTACTAAACATGGAAAACAAGTCGCTCCAAGGTATTGTGAACTTCTTAGCAGTCTAAACCGTCTTTGAGGTCGAGTTTTGTCTTCTGTAGCAAAGGACTAAGAGGACGGAAGGTTAAAAAACAATTTAACTTTGAATGCATGATTACTTGTTCCACAATGGTTTTGAGGAAAATCATTGAGAAGTCGAAAATAGTTAACTGTTCGAGGACTTAATGTTGGTTACATTACTTTTATGTTCCAGTAATTTGCAGATATTGCATTTTAAATCTGGAGCAAGTGAAATTGACTAAACAATTTAGTTTTTCCATATTATTTTCTCGATGAAAGTTTGAATGTGATTGATTTATCAATAAGATCTATCTTTGTAAGTTCCTTGTGCATCTCGATAAAGATAAAAGATGTTTCTATTTAATGAGTCTAGTTAAGAATCTGGTTGCAATTATATATTCAATTTGATTCCCAGGTAGAATTGGAACACAACTTAAATTTTCCTCCCTAACAGATACAGTAATTATACGCATTTAAACGAGCAAACTTAGCAATAAATTGGTCATAGTTTATGAGTTGTTTAGTCTTAGTTTGAAAATAGGAAGCAATCAAACCGGAAAGTAATGTTTAAATGAAAATGCTAAATATACACAATACCAAAAAATACATTTCATATTATGCCTATATACGTAAGTTATATTTATTGTACAGTTGTATTGTTAATACTTTGCTATATATGGCGCAAAAAGTTAGCTTTAAATTTGCAAATAATTATTTTACTTAATTATATTTCAGCCATATTTTCTACATATAAAAACTATAACTATAGATGAGTATATACAAATGAAAATTTCAACAAAAATATATTTAAAATTATTTCAACTGAACCTTATCAGTCAACTGAACCTTTGCTCGAATAAATGCCTGATAATGGAATATTTAGATCGTTCAAACATTTGCAGATAAACATCATTATTTTTCTTTAAAAAAGCCGTGCTTTTGATTGAATTGAATTTTAGATTTCATAATACTACATTTTTTCAATTAAATATAATATTAAATGCCATTGCTGGTTTAAACAGAGTAAGAGCGTTTAAAACAATTTCTTTTAGACTCTGGCAATGTAATTTTATACGTTCTCCTACACTGCCATTAAAGCTGCCCGATTAATTATCGAGTTTCATCCTTTCAAAAGCTTTTCACCCTAATGGACATTTTTCTGTTTTTGAGCAAAACGACGTAGAAGCTGATAACAATGTAATCAATTAAATTAAACAAATGTTAGTGTACATTTTCTAATTTCAGAGTGGTCTGCAGTATAGAACCGCTCAAGAAAGCCATTGTTATAATATGTAGAAAAAAAAGCTCATTAATTTGGACAAACTTGGAATATGATTTTTTCATATCGAAGTACTTCAATTATGTTTATTTGCAGAAAACTTTTCGCCATCTATTCAGGCGGTATCAGTAAATATTTTGGACCAGAATTTTAAAATCAAGCACGTCTTAGTTTTTAAGAAAAACGACAAATAATATTTCGCAAAAGAGAATTTAAAAGAAAATTCTAATTAGTGTTTGTTTAAAGCTCAGTTCTTGCATTCAGAGTAGTTCAGTTTCAGATATTGTTTATTAACAATGCTGGATCCTGTGTTGTCTCTTAAAAATTGAATTGTTTTTTAACAATCTTCTCAACCTAAGGAAATAAATTTCATCTGTAATTTTTGGGATTCGACCGAAAGAAGTTTTCTAAGCTCGATCAGCCATTAGCGTCACGTTTGGAAGGATCGTATATTAAACGCATTATCAACTTCAACAAAACATCTCATAAACACGTTTAAACTTCAAAAACAAATTTACGTTTTTCATTCGTCGTTCGCTGTGTTTGCACTGCGCTTACATTTCCACTCTAGTTTTACTTTAGCGGAAAAAGTTTTCTTTGCATAAGTGAATACACACCCTTCAGCAAAATTTATAAGTTTGCTTTTGCGAGCTTAGGCATCCAAGTTGTAAATCAAATTAATATACTCTGGATATGCATGACCTATTTTAAAAACACTGCAATTATTTCAAATATAACTTACAGTTTTGAAACATACAGGACAGGTTCTGCTGGTACTGAAGTGTATTTTTTAGAAAATGTTTTATATATTGACTTAAAGTGAATAATTTATATATTAAAGCTCTGTTACGATTCATATATGGTGCAAATTAAAAATGACCATAAATTTCTTCATAACAAGGTTGACTTACGTTGAAGATTTTTTTTCAAAATAGCGTTTTTGAAATAAAGTCGGATACGCTGTAGCTAAATACAAAAACCTTCATTACTTTATTTCCTTTTTTATATATTTTCGGCGTTGAAGGGAATTCAAAATTTATCCGTTGTTTCTGTCTCTAGAAGACACTCTTGTCTGAGAGTATTTAAAGGCAATAAAAAAAGCATGTTACTGTTCGAAGTGTAAATTTGTCACTCTATTCAGTTGTTAAAAATTCAATCTTCAACAATTCAATTTTCCGATAAAGTTCCCAAGGAAATAACAGCAAGACCTGCACTTCAATGCGTACTATAATTGCATAAATTCTATAACTTAAATGTACAATTTATCCCGGAAATGTTTAATTTCACTCAATAACCTCACTTCACAACATCCGTTTTCATAGCTTATCAGCATGTTTGCATTTCACATTGTAGCTGTATGTTGAAACACAGTTGTCTGGTTATTCGAACGGTAGAGCATTTTTGAAGCAATTAGTTGATCAGGATTTTATAGAAAACTTACAGAGGAAGGTACCTTTTCAGGAAACCTTTAATGGTCTTATATACCCAATGTATTGATTAAACGGAATACGGTTTTAATTGTGGATTATTGGCACAGCATTTAGTCAGTCACGTTCACTTTTTTGAACAACTTTTACGTTCCCAGAAAAATAAACATATTTTTCATAAAAAAACACATCTTGTTTTCCTCGTCCATTATGTCTAAGATTTGATCGATTTAGAGTTTACGCAAGAAACGTAAACCATATGCCTATATCATGGGTTTGACATTGCTATACGTTAAAGGTTTGAAGAGCAAGGTAGAAGAACTATCCACTAATATGCAGAACCTTGCTATGGTGTTCTTTAGCGATTATTATGCTCGAAAAATTAAATCAAAATTTTAAAGGATACTTTCCGTACCCTGAAATTAAGCTCTTCTGACTGAAATTCTGACCATTTACTAGCCGTATATTTTATAAATACATCATGTTTAAAGATGTATGAGTTATAACTATTATATTCCATATAATTATATAGAATAGTATCCCATTCGCTTAAAAGCTGCATTGGTTTTCAGTGCATTAACTGTTTAGATTTACACGCAACTTACCTCAAAATACTTATCACATTACCGCATGCTTCTCGCTTGAGTAACGTACATCGCAGTTGCTACTTGAAAATATCATTCGTATGGCACTCAAAAAACTTTTTATTTCTGTTGACGCGACAAACATTTACCGAATGTTAATTAAACTTGAAGGCCAATTTCTTAACTCTCATGTCATTTACTTAAAAGTTATATCGATTAATGCGATACTTGTAAGGTAATTTGCCGTTGGATGTAATTGGACGTTTCATACATAGGAGAATAAAAATCCTTTGAATACAATTTTATATTTATCTGATATTATACTTCACATTAATTTCCTAACTACACCCTGTGATAGCGTTCAGCTCCTCAGGACAATAGATTTCTTCGAATTCTACATCTGGGTTATCTTCTCCAAGCCAGTTGAATCTCCATTGACATCCTGGTTGCAAAATTTCGGGCAATTCGTCACACTCCTATAGTCAAACCTGATTAATATGGTCATATTATTCACTCCTATGTTCTTACCTCCAATGAGGAGACGCCACCAAACTCCTCTCCCCAGCCTCCAAGAGGCGAGTCGAATTCGTTCCAACATCCGAAAGTAGCTGGTCCAACCCCACCTCCGGGAATTGCAATATCAAAGTGGTTTTGTGACAAAGGTCCTCCAGTATTGGTAATCTGGGCAATCAGTTGTTTTCCAAGAATTTCCCCTTGGAATTTCAAGAGTAAACAGGAACAACATTTGGAGTTGTCGTCTCCTCCTATTAACACATTGGGTGTTTATTTTTGATAAAACTTGAAATGAAGCGCTACCTTTGAATGAAGCAGCAACAAAACCGTAACTGACCGTCTCATTGTAGACCCATGGAGTTTGGTCCACGCACATGTAAGACGCACTAGAAGAGTTCAAGTAGCAACCAGTTTCCTGCTCAATGTCAATGGTAGTTAAACCATCCTTGGCGCAAGATCTTACAGGGACGGTTTTACCACTTTCTCCAAGGTTTTCCTGCCAGGCACAGCTGGGTTTGCAACAGTCCCAGTAACGGGTTGTTATTCCACTTCCACTTACACCATTCGGCACTGGGACGATTTCTGGTTCCCCATTAGCAACAGCAGTCACTGAAAAGAGGAAGTAAACGTGAATATTTATCCCCAAAACCGCTTCCAATTTATTGACAGAACCCTGCATTAAATGCCTTTTCTAATTGCGTACGTAAACCAGCTTTTGCCTGAATTGATTTATAATGGATGAGAAAAATACTTACAGGCCAAAATAATCACAACTGCTGGATTCATGTTTCCTACAAACAGCTTTTCGGAAATAATTGTCTATAAGTGTGCTGTTTTTCTGACCGATTTCAATTTAAAGGTTCAGACTCTGAAGTGCTCCTTAAGATAGCCAAGTTGCTCGGAGTATCAATTCTCCTGTTTATAAATTGTTGAATATTTAATAGATTTCGATATTATATCAGCTTTGAGATTATTACAACGCCAATTGGATTGAAGTGGAGAACGGGAGATGATCTGGGAGGCAGGAAAAGTATATAGCTCTTGTAAATTTGACGACTTTGTGCAAGCAACTCAAACATGGCCAACAAGGCCATGTTTTGTCTATTTGCAAAACCGACATCATCAGCTAGCAGCAAACTACATGAGATATATTGATTTTCGATTTGTTTCAGCATTGGTTGTGCGGTTTATTACCAGACGATTCATTGGAGAATACGATCCGACACTCGAAAAAAACTACAGTTTCCATACTGTTATCGACAACGACATGGTATACTTCGAAATTTTGGACACCGCAGGACAAACAGCAGTAAGCACTGTGTTTTTTACTACTTTTTTTCCAAGTTTGTTTCCGAGTTTTAGCGCGAAAGCTGGGCAACTAGAGCTCAACTGAAAAGTAAAATTTTGGCTCTGTAAATTTATTCTCAGCTGATTAGAGTAACGAATTTATAGTTCCGGCAGTAAATTAATTTTCTTTTCATGGATAATTAGTCAAATAATTAGCGCATATTTCCCTTGATGTATAACTTTTGAAGAAAGTCTCGCTTAGGTAATAGTTTGATTAAGGCTACTTCTCTAGCCTTCTGACAACAATTATAAGATTAAACAATGTATGCTGATTGTAGAAGTTTTGTAAAAGCTAACAAACTCGGAACCTATTGTTTTCAAATTGCATTAAAAATTTTCTTTTAATGAGGAATTTGTTATCACCTCATTTTTCACGGAGTGTTTTGAATTATTGCATTTTAATGCTACTAATAAATGCAGTTTACCATGTAATTTCATGCAGCAACTGGCGATAACTTGCAAATTTACAAAGAACACTTTATGTTTTATGACAAATGCAGAAGTAAAATCTTATTAGTTCCTTTAAAAATATTATAGGTAGCTGTATAACTTATAACGAATATTCTACAAAACTTGTAACAGGAATTCAAAATAAAAGTCGTTTGATTTTACGCATTAACGCATGATTTAGTTGACATGTCCATACACTAGTAACATCTATTAGCTTTTTGTAATTATATTTTGAAAACATTTTTCAAAATGGAATTAGCAATTGCAGGTGTTATAGCAGGCGGCTATTAAAATCACAGAAAAGTATTGAGACGCGTTTCTATCGGTCCGGCATATGCAAAAAACACCTATTTAAAGAAACGTCCATAAATATCTTGAAATCGGCTACAGGATTTTAATAGTTTAACTTATTAATTTATAGAAAATCGATCTTCAGTTATTTTAAACAGCAAATTATTTAAAATATTTTGTTCTTATTGATAAAATTTAACAGCATGTCTAGGAATAAAACTACTGTATTATTTATTAGAAACCTTAATGGTACGTTATTGAGTAAATTTTATTTTACTTTTATGGATATTTATAACAGTGCGCCCTATTTGAATTTAGCAAATTACGACCTTGCAACTGATTTATGTATATTATACGGCCATGAATATGAAATCCTAATTTTGATGATCCAACGAAACTGCATCTTTTAGTGCTTTCAAGATACTTTTGATTTCAAAGTTGAAAATAAATGTTGGGAACTACGACGATAAAAATGGTTACTTGCCTTTACACTATGAAATGACAAATGTCGGAAAAACCATAAGTTTTACTTTTTTTGTTGATATAAAACACCATCAAATGTATAATAATTAACTAAATTACAAGCTATACAGTGTTTGCTTTTTAAACATTTGTAATTTGCTTTTGGATTTGTTACATGTTTAGTGTGTCCACTTTTCATGTACGTCTTCGGCTGAACAAAATAATTCGTTGGCATTCTTCTATACTAAAGCGTAAATTATTCTGAATCCGTTTTGCCAAATAAGAGAACTCTCAATTATTCTCACTTCATCTCTTTCACAAGAAAAGCTATTGTGTTGTGATATATTGGGATAATTAAAGAATTATTTTTAGTTTTAATTTGTATGACTTGTATGCCGTGGCGAGAAAATATTTCATTATGTGTAGTACCATTCAGTAAAATGCACCATTGAAACGTCGAAACAAAACGCAGTAATTTTTCACGCTGCCCCCGTTAAAATTGTTTCATATTTTCAAATGTCTGGCTACAAGCTGAATGTAGGTCACCTTAAACATTGTAACAATTTAAAGCAGTAAAATGTCCCTCCAGGGATTTATATGAGCTTTAATAAACGCTGCTTTAAGGTGCTTCTCATAACTTTTAAATTAAGTAAAACTTTTTTTGTTTCTCCAAGCTTTAAAATCGTTGTTTCAATGCTTCAATCATAGCTCTTATAACTCTTTAAAGGATTTTTTGCTATTATTTTTTGCTCCCTTGAAACATAACGGCTGCAATATGTCCACTATTTCTTTTTGTATTAGTTTCAAGAAAATTAGGTACATAAGTTCTCTTTTATTTGCTCCAAAGTAATTTTGCTGTCACAGAGCTAAGAAAGTTTCTTTCAGTTTTGACATGGTCTCACGCTTGATTTATATCTACATTGTTTTTATGTAAACCAGGTACTTGTTGGCAATTTATATAAAAAAATAATATTCAACAGGCAAATAATTTTCTGCGGTGAATAATCGATAAACGTTTAATCTACTAAGGGTTAAAATCGGTTAAAAAATCTACAAAATTTTAAAGATAATACTGCTATAATGCATATGAATAACTGTTCTCTAGTTTATAATCTGTTTAGTTGATTGGTTTCGAACAATTTTCGTTATTTACTTAAAATTTGCAAGTCGTTTAGATTTAACTCTTTTGGGAATTACTTAAATTAATCAGGAAGTAGTAACACGGGTTCAAAGTGCATCAGCTTTAAGTTTTAAATTAGAAAAGCACAATTTAATTGAATTGCGTACTTCGATTTTTTTTTATATAGTATACTGTTTCCTCAATGGAATATTTTTCCAATATGCACTAGTACTAATTTTCCAGTCAATGGGAGTCTTTGCCAATAATCACAAATATGTATAACCTACATATTACGTAGCGTTTTTGATTGAGATTACTTTGTCTGAAATATTTGCCAGAAATATAAAAAAATGTCCTTTCCTTTCTGAATAGCTTTTCAATTGATTGAGAAGGAATGATAGAAAACGCCTTGATCATCGTGATCTATTCTACTTAAAAAGTTGAACATACTATTTAATTTCACTTGGTAACTCCGGATGCATTTTATACAGGTTCCAAAGAAAAAGAGGTCCATAGAATTTTGTGTAAATTCTATTATGAAATTGTCAGCGCTTATTTTGGCAGTTGGCAGTGTCGGAAATTAGGATGTTAAAGTAGTATTTTTGTTTTGTTTTTTTGTCATTATTCTGAGGCTTTCTGGGTGAGAAACGTTGCTTTTTAAATCACCAATAAAATGTTAAATTTGTTTTAGAAAGCGCTACTTGCGACCAGTTTTGTGAATATCTAGATTAATATATTTTCAGCTTGTTCAGTCTATATCAACTTTAGTTCAATACCTAAGAGAAGTAACTTTTTACACAAATAAACTTAGGAGATATTCTTGCTTCATATCAATATTATGGTCGGGTTTTTCAGAAACGGGTTTAACAAGCGTTGGTCTTAAATAAAATGCAAACATTAGAAGCTACTCAAATCCGCTTGCGCTAGTATCTAACGCTTTTTCTCATAAATAAAATATAATATTTTCCTCTGTAGAAGCAGGTAAATAAATACTCAGTGTATGAAATTAAGTAAATGCTTTGAATATTGTGTGACAATCACATTCATCACACAATCACAAACAGTGACTAAATTTTAAAAATCTGCACAATTGCTTAGACTAAAACGTGATCTTTCTCTCCGAAAAGTAATAATGGCGCCCCAGAAAACATTCCTAATGAGCAGAAAGAAAAAATAATTGTAAGAGGTAGGTACTGAACATCCAGCTACAAGTACCGATAAAGTAGTCTTAATACTAAAATTAAAATCAAATCCTGGGTTCTTCAGTCATTTATTGTTCATTTATCAATTTAAAAAAACGTTTCGGTGTTTTCCATCATCATCAGTTTTAATGTGTAGCGTTGTTGCTACTTTGTTGTTACTACTAAAAGTAGCAACAACGCTACACATTAAAACTGATGATGGTGGAAAACACCGAAACGTCTTTTTAAATTGATAAATGAACAATAAATGACTGAAGAACCCAGGATTTGATTTTAATTTTGGAATTGAAACACAGTCAGGAAAGTACATACAAAGTCTTAATACTGCAACAATCAGTTTGGAATTTCTGCAAAATGACAAAAGTCTTGTTTGTCGATAATTGACGATGGACTTATTTGTAGGACTCGGTGGATTTCCATGTTGTGAAAGCAAGACACTTCCAACATGAAATCAATTACTTAATAATAAGGGCCGTGTTATTGGCAATTCTTTTCTTGATATGCCCAGATATTTTCAGAAAAATATCAAAAAAACGAATTAAAATTAGGGTTTTGGATTTCGGAAAAGATCAACTTTCGCATTCAGTTTCTGGATTTCTCATTGCTAGTGAATCGCTCTGTATTTTAATTTAATTATATCCGAACTCATAGTTTTTACACGTAGAATTATTTACTACACGTGGGATTTAATTTTCGAACCTAAACACGTACCGTTGAAGAAAAAGGGGGTTTCGAAATTTAAAAAGGCATAAGGTATGAGCTGGTATAAAAGTCAAACCCTACTCATGCGGGCCCAAGTAAAATATGCCGTTTTGTATGAAATTGCAATCTTCCATAGAAAAATATGTATCTTATTTGGCCAGTGTCGGTGACAATATTTAAAACGCCTTTCCGAATGTCGGGCAAAATTCACATTTATGGTAAAAAGGGTAAATTTATATTTATAACATAAGCGCTGTGCGACTATACAATTAAGTGACCTAAACATTTCACAACGTTTCTATCTGTATTTTCTAATGGTACTGTTTCGCAAAACATGTGTACTGTTTGCTAAAAAAATATGATGAGATTAAAAAAATGTATTTGATAGTTTCTCCACATAATCTAATTTATTTTGATATATGTACTTACCTGAAGCGACTGCTTGAGAAGATAAAATTTTTAAGTGTCGTGATTTTATGGAAAAGTCTGGTTAAAAAATGTAAATTTTTTATTTTTTGCCTGATAAATGCAGTAAGTATATTCAATTTTTTGTGGCACTAACAACGGAACATGTCCGATTTCTTGACACATTCTTAATTAGAGTTAGGTTTTTTATTTTAATTGATTATTTGGAGTAAGTTCTTTCGACGAATGTAAATGGTTGGATAAAGTTGTCCTGCTATTTGAAAAATTCAAGTCCTTTGCAATGCTTTTATACGTCCAATCGTAAACACTTAATCGTCACTTCATAAAACTGTTTGCAAATAATAGGTATACTAATTTATTCAGTTGCCGAACGATTCACTTTTCGGTAGAGTGATTTAAAAAATAATGACTTTTAAATAACAACATCAGAACACCGTAACTCTTTCAGCGATCTTGCAGCCGTGGCTTATTATTATAATAAAAAGCTCTCAAGTGGAACGCATTTTTATTTAATTTAGGGAAACCAACTAAAATTATGTAAATTAAGCGGAAAACATAGCAAGCAGGTCCAGGGATAAATATAAAGAGTCAGCTTTGCTACATTTTTTCGCAAACGTGTTAATTAATTTGCCGAGACCGTAATTTTCCTACTTATAACGGTGCTTAAGTTGCAAACTTTCTCTTCACCAACTAATTAAGACCTTCGCAGATGTAGCCCATATATTTGAGCCCCTTTATCTCGGTTAAATGTTAATTTGCTGAAAGCTAACACCCTTCTTCTAGAGTAACACTCCTCTAAACATGATCTTATTTTTTGAACTTTCTGATTATTTATATATTTCACAAATTTATTTTTTTGTCAAATTGAAATCGTGCTGGTCAAATTTGGCCGTGTTCAGAAAATGATGTTTGATCCTTTTCACGATTTTGCGTAAAACGATGGGAACGTGTTAGAAGAGCAGGATGTAGAAAATGGTTCTAGAACATTCGACCTGACAAACGAATCGTGCAGCAATTAAAATGCCTCGTCAATTAATGCATTTCTAAATTATGTAGTTTTAATAAGTTATGTATAAACGGTAGTTTAAGTTTGGCTGCAGAAAATAAAAGAAAATTTGAAACTTTTGCAGCTTAACTGCAAGTGTTCGTTTCGTAAACGTTAACCGTAAAACACCGACACTTAACTCCGGAATAAAACATGATCACCTGTCCTTTTGGAGCATTTTAAAATTGCATTAAACATACCAAAAAAAATTACACTAAATGCCACTCAGCCCGATTGATAGAACTTAGGCCTCGTATGGAAAATCAATTATACTTCCGAAAAATACTTAAATATTAATCCATAGGCCAATTACCGGTCGCTCTTCTTGCTCCTGCTTATACCACACTTTGAGATCGAGAAATACCCGAGATGATCGCATCTTGTACGGGAAATTTTGAAAAAACTGCTGAAGCGTTGTTCATTTACTTACTTCTACTTACGCCAAACAAAACTTTGCTGAATAAGTGCAAATTAAACAATTAAATAACTCGGAATGTCCATCATTAGTTAATTAAGATGAGTCCGTATGGTGTGCTTCAAGCCGTGTCTTTGGCAACAATGACCAACCCAGCTCTTTCTAAAGGTTGCGAAACTTAGTGGATTAAACAACAAATTTATCTCTTATACCTATATTTAGAATAGCCTAGACAAATAAACAGCAATCGGACACCACCGTCAATCTATCATATGTATTTCTAAAACTGTATCAATTCTTTATCTATGAGGACTCGTTAATAACACAAAGTTATTAGTGATTGTGCTCGCAGTAGAGTGGACTGCCTGGCGGTTGTCGTAATTATTAATTGTGTTTGTTCATTTACTAAAATTAATGTATGATAAAAAACCGAAAATGTACATTCCTACGAGGTACAGTTGATAAATGGCCAACATCACATGTACCAATTATTAATTAAGTATAATTAAATATTGGTATTACTCAATACATGTAATGATAAAACACAAAGCATTTAATTCGATTGCCAGCAATAATCATTAACCTACATTTTGCTAATTCGTCAATTACGATTTCAATAGATTAACATACTTAAATGAGACGAAATTATTGCCGATTTTCTAAAAGCACTAGTTCCATTTCAGTCACTGAAAGAACCTACAATTCAATTTCTTAATTGAGATATTTTATAGTATTTTAAAAAAATCCACTATATCTACCCAATTGTATTCGTTTTACCAATTTAAATATTGCTTTTTTTATTTCAGGAAACCGAATTTATAGGCCTCGAAGCAAACATTCGCTGGGCTGAAGCCTTCATTCTCATGTATTCCGTTACCGATAAATGCTCCTTTGACGAATGCTATCGACTGAAATTCTTAATAAACTACAACAAACGAAAAAAACGACTGGGAAGCACCAAAGACCCTATAGATGTGCCAGTACTTTTAGTAGGCAACAAAAATGACCAAGTAAGTGAATATTCCGTAAAAAGTGTACGCCTTCAATTAGATTTTAACTGGGTTTCAAAGGGATGCTTTTCAAAGAGAATTGTAACTTTCAAAGAGGAATGAAATGCAAATGTTATATACACGATAAACTTGCAAACGATATTAAAAATGATTAAAACTTTTTTGTATAAATTGCTTTACATAAAGCCTGGGAAAAGAGTTACTCCAGAATACTGAATTTTATTTCACTCGTGCGTAAAGTTAACTAAGTCTGTTGGTTTAGTGTCTAGATATTAATAATGTGCACTTATTTATTTGAACTGAGAACCATTAGCTCAGTTGTCTGTAAGAGACCTCGCAGTTATCGCAACGAAAATGTATTCGGACGAATACAAAAACGATGCAAAATAAAATAAAATTATTAATAAATTTTTGTATTATACGTTTCTGGTTATAATTATTTCCGGCGTAATAGTTAACGTAATTTAATTTGCATTTGGTTTTTAAACCATAAAGAACATTTGAATAATCATCAATTGTTAATAATTACCTTCATTATATTCACATTCGATCAAATTCTAAAAAAAGTGTTGCTTAATATGCTTAATATATTGTCATTTAAGTAAACTACACTTTATTCCATTTGAAAATTGGTATGAATAATAGTTTCAAAAAAAGTTTCGCCCCTATAGGTGTACCAGTACTTTTAGTAGGCAACAAAAATTATCACGTAAGTGATTATCTCCACAAAGTTATACGATTTTAATTAGCTCTGCTTAAAATATTCCTTTCAACGGAAAGGCTAGAAGCAAATCAAATTAAATTAATTCGAAAAATAATCACACACATGATAAACTTGCAAACGTTATGAAAAACGATCTAAACTGCTTCGCTAAAATGCTTTACCTGGGAAAAGCGTTGTTTCAAGAACAGTGAATTTTACTTCACTCGTGCATAAACTTAATTAAGTTTGTTAGTTTATTATCCCAATACTAATAATATGTACTTACATTTGGGCTGATGTTCATTAGCTCATTTTTCGGTAAAAGAGCTCTGAATTATAATAAAGAAAATTTATTCAGAACAACACAAAAATCAATGAAAAATAAAAAACAAATATTAATACAATTTTGAAAAATTATATTTGTAACTATAGTTATTGCCGGTGGTGTAATCCAGGGAATGTAATTTGAATTTGTGTTTGTAAACTATAAATAAATTTGAATAATCATCGTTTATTAATAACTAGCTCCAATAATAATTTAAATTCCATCAAATTCTAAAAAAAATTGTAGCAGAATTTGCTCGATATATTATCATTGAATTAAAATACAGTTAATTTCATTTAGCAATAAATAGATGGACTACAATGTTTATAGACACAGTTCTATGCATTACCGTTTCATTTGAAGCCAAAGAGAATCCTTTCGAAACTGCGCCTTTTAGTAAATATCTGTTTCTTAGATTTGTCTTATCCTAAAAAAATAATTAAGTCCCAGCATGCAAGTTTATGAACTTTTTAGATAAAACAATGATCGAGAAAAGAAAATCTTAACAAGGAGGCACATTTTTAAAAGGATTTTTTTATTTCGGTTTGAACTAAAACGGGAAAAAACATGATTCGTTGTTTTCTTTATTATGTTGGAAGGAAAATAACGAATTAATATGTCTCAAGCATGAAAAATGCAAGCGAGATAATTCAACATGCTTCTGGTTCGCAGTTTTTTTTGGAACTGAGTGTTTTTGTACGCTTTTAAGGTGGAAAACATAATTTTCTAACTTAAGCAATAAGCGTTACCTCAACTTGGGTTTAAAACTTCTGTTTAAAAATTTTCCGTAAACGAGCTTCAGACAAATACGCTCTGATTCATAATGTATTATGTGATTAAATCAATTATTGAAATAGTTGACATCGACAAATTGGTTGCCAAAGTTATCTAATACAAAGAAGTCAAATCAAATATGGAAACCAGTCTAAATAAAGCAGAGTTTACCTGTAAATTGAGACCAAAAGGAAATATAAAGATCCATCGAGTGTGAGTAAAATTCAACTTCCAATTTGATGGAAGTAAATATAGAAATTCGCTATATTGAAAATTCAGTGAGCAGAATACACTTTCTAATTAAGAATCAACATGAATATAAAAATAACTAAATATATTGAAGTTTTTGTTATTTTATTTATTTAGATCATAGGTTTATAAAATACAGTTGTAACTGATGGACTATGGATTCACTACGAGTCCGATTTTTTGAACTTTCAAATAAAAGAACCGAAAGAACATGGAAAGATAATCAGGTCTGAAATTTCCTCTTCGTATTGTATGTTACGGTCCACACGTGTTTCTAATTCTATATTCCAGGAGAATTTTTCGGGACCCTACATAAAGTTAAGCTTATAAAATAAACTTTCTTGGCCGTTTTTTTTTGTACACTGAAAATACGAACTATTCCCTCTGCGCTGTATTTGGTTATTCTAAGTAGAAATAACTGTTTGTATTAATCGACATTAATAGGCATATCTCTTTCATTTGAAAACGCGTGTCTTATGCAGGAAATTTTTATGAACGAATATCTTATATTTTGTTTAGTGCAAGGACATATTCAAGTATTTGTAAAATAATAGACATATTTGATTTTTAAGTATTCTCAAATTTTAACGGTTTCGCGCGTCTCGTTTTTTGTTATCAATGAAGTTTGAAAAATGCTCTTTTATGCACTTAATAGAGCTGATGAAAAATCGTTCCCGCACCTTTTTCTTCTGATGTTTTCAAACCGCGAGTCAGAGCAGAATTAAATTTCGCCATTATTTTTAATACGTAAATCATTTATCGTTAAAGAATTATATCAATATGCTTCATTTTCTAATGTTTCAGATAGAGGAACGAATGGTATCACTTGAAGATGGCCAGAAGCGAAGTAAGGAAATTGGCTGTGTATGTTTCCATGAAATCTCTGTTAGGGAAAGCATTGACCAGGTAGGCAAATTTAAATATTAATCGGATGGCTTATTTGGTATGATTTCAATTTCGGGTAGTGAATTGGGAATTACATTGGTCGGGCGTCACTACATGAAAGGAAATTATTCTAAGGGTAAAGTGGCTGAATTCGAGCATCAGATTTCTAATTCAGCACTACGGCAATAATATATTGGGGAGAATGTGCAATTATTTACGCCTGATGGAGATTTCAGATCATTTAAACCTCAATTATTTCTACACTGTTTAATTTACTTTAAATGTTGTGTCTGATGTCTCACAATGCTGTGTTAAATGTTAATGACTGAATTCAGAAAATATAATATTGTTTTACGCAAAAACTATGAATGCTGCAAGATTTTACAAAGAGCACAAAATTGTGAATAAATGATTAGTGCATCAAGAAAAAAAATTAGTTGCTTCCATTCACCAAATAAAAAGTTCTGGTAGTGTTCGTACCACGGCACTCAATAATTCAGCACTAGTCCAAAACGGATTTAACTCGTTTGTTTCATCAAAATATGAGTTTACATAAGAACAAATTCACAGCGAGTTTCAACAAAATACCATCGTACCATTCTCATGCTGTATATTTTTGTTCAATTCGATTTCTTTTAAACACGTAAGAATATCCGGAAATATATATTGGGTTTAAATAAATTTCCTGTTATTTTTTTAATGCTTTTTAAATTACAAACGCAGGCGTAAAGGGTGGATCATCTGTAGAACTGTGAATCCTTTATAATGAATGAGCATTCAATAAAGTATTTACAGAAAACATTTTTCTATCATTTGCTTTCATATTCATGCTGTTTCAACTCTATATAATTTGGTCTAATACCGTACTCTTATGATATTGCTTACTTATCGGAAACATGTCTACATAATATATCGTCGCGCTTTGTATAAACAGTTTTTGCATCAATCCGGCTTTAAACTGGAGCTGAGAAGTGGATTATTTCAGCCATGATTATGTGGAAACTCCATTATAAGGATAACGTAAACTTCTTTATCTAAGCTTTCTCCTTTATGACTACAACAGATAGTTATCTATTATTCTATATATATAAAATTCTCGTATCACAGTTTTAGTTACCATACTCCTCCGAAACGGCTTGACCAATTTTGATGAAATTTTGTATGTATATTCAGTAGGTCTGAGAATAGGTTGTTATCTATTTTTTATACCCCTAAGTGATATGGGTGCTGATTCAATAAATTTAAAATACATTTTTTTTTAAATCTCAAGTGGCCAAACCGCCCACTCGAGATGAAAAAAAACCCTAGGAAAAATTTATATGGCAATACAACGTTTGCCGGGTCAGCAAGTACTTCTCTATAAAAGGACTCGTTTGATTTATAAGATAACTTATAGGAAATATGAAATATCAAAGGATGGGCCCGGATTTTTACGTCAGCTAAAATAGGGCTGAATCTTAAAATACGTAAATGCGATTATAATGCGGTAAAAGAGTAATGTAAAAAATAATGCAACATACGTTTAGAGAAAAACAAAATTATAATTTCAAAGATAAATTTGAAATAAAAATATTCAACTGCACTTTAATGCACTATAAAACTACTTTAAACATGTTTTTGTAGGCAACCATTCGTCTGCATTAAATCGAGAATGACAGTGGAACTTGAGCAGGCCAATATTAAAAGCATTTCAAGCAGAAGTATTAAATATGACAGATATTTTGCATTTATCACTCTATATTATATTTAAGCAAATTTAAATTTAATTTGAAAAGCGCTCTGATTAATTTGATTGTCGCGTTTCCTGCTGATGAAACTACAGGAAATGATGCATTAAGCTGCATTTTAACGGACTTCATCACAAGTTAAATTGCAAATCTATTTATCTTCTTTTAATAGTTTAAATTCAAGCAAGTTGTCATTTATTTGGAAATGTTCATCAACTTGACTCTAATTTAACAGTAGGTAAATTGAATTTGAACAAATTTCTTTCCGACGCGAAAGGCGAAATTATAATTTCTTGGCGAGTGAGAAGAAATTTGTATTTGCTATATTTATTAAGTGGATATTTTAAATTGATTTTTATCCAATCTACATACTTTAGCAATGGAATGCTCGTTTCTGCTACTTTTCTTTGGAAGTTGGAAGCGTGCTGACTGCTGACTAATAAGGCGTACATTGGAAAACTAAACTTTTCATGTCACTGTTTCGTTAAACTATACTTGATAAATTTAATTAACTTCTTTATGTTTTCACTTTAATGGTTCTTAAACTTACAAAGTATGCTTAACTGTTGAAATATGTTTTTTAAGTGGGGTCAATATTGGCACATTGTACTGATTTATTAGGGGTGTCTATATTGGCAAATTGTAGTAATTTATTAGGGGTATACAGGCAAAGAGTAGAAGATCACGCGATTGGGCTAATTGAAACTACTTTCAGAAAAAGTCAATTGATAAACATAATAATATGAATAATAATTCAAGACCACCTCTTTCGTGCTTACTTTATTAACTTTTATTAATAGTTGTTAGATTTAATTCTCTTGTATGCAACTGCAAATAAGTCAAGTTAACATAATTTAAAATATTTATAAATATATATTGAAAAATGAAAAAGTATAAGAAACTTCCTTCTTATTTTTCTAGTGTGATTAATATTGCCTGAAATACAACTTAAAAATTATGTGCTTTAAATGGTGAAGCACTTTAAAACAATGAATTAAAAGCAATATTAACTATTTTAAATATTCATTAGTAAGGACCGTTTACTAAAAGTGGAAAAGCATCTTTCAAATATTTATAATATTTTAATCTGGTTGAAAGAAAAGCTGGCAACATTTCATATTCTTTCCGAAACTCGAATCGGTAAATTTTAGAAAATCAAACTTTAAACGTGTTTGATATTATTATCTGGAATAAATATATAACTTTCTGCGGGAGGGCTAGAAATTAGAAGGCTTGACAAACAATAAATAATTGAAAAATAAGTTACAATAAAAAGTATCCATGGATTTACTACTGGTGCAGTCATTTGCAAAAGCATTTGCAAACAGAATTGAGATTCTGTGCTTCTAATAAATCAATATCTATATACTTGTAATGGAAGATAACAATTTGAACTATTATGTTAACTAATTCGAAGCTTTAGTGCGGACTTGGGTTCAAGTTAACAGGAAATTTAAGCTAGTTACAGGCGTTCACTCCACATTCACTTCATCCCACATCGGTGCTTAAGTCAAATTTTCCAGAGTTAAATCTGAAAATTCAAGGGTATATTGATCTTTGGTTGAGATGGCTGTATATGTCGGTAGCATATTAAAATTTATCACATCGGAAGAACGTTCTTATCGTCTGGGCGTAAAGTACATTTGACGATTTAAATAAATAATTTACCAATAGAGGCCAATAGAAGAATAGCAGCAAATCGCCTAAGAAGCAAAGCTGCAAATGTTTTAACTGCGTTTTAGCAACGAGAACAATAATATATATGTATTACATTTTACAATCTGTAAAATAACTTAAACTATATCTTATCTATTCAAATGTTTACTGCTCTTTATCTCAACAAAAGTACAAAAATCTTAAGTGCTACATTGAGAGCCATTTAAAAATTTGCTTATTTTACTAAGTAGTGGTTAAGTTGGTTAAGTTGAACAAAACTATTGAAGTTTTATAAGAGGAAAAATATTTTTGTTACTTTTGCGTCAGTTTAGTCAATAGTAGTAATATTTTCTTGCATGTGCAATAGTAAGGTTAGACCCTAGACCCAAAAAAGCGTTGTCCCAGTTATCCCAACAAGTGTAGATAATTTATAATTAGAAGGACTGCAAAATGAAGAAGATATTGCTGAACAAGCCGACAAAAAATAAATTTCTGAATGCAATGATTAAAATATTGCGATAGCGTATCAATTTTATCAAAGAATTGTAATTCTGAAGTATTATATAATAACTGTACCACACCTGTAGCAGTCGCATTGAAACCACCAAGAATATTTTTAATTTATTTCTCTTGGCGGATCTCTTGCGGACAATTGTTTTTTTTCTTTTGCAAAAACTTTGCCGTTTTTTATTATTCTAACTCGCGGAGCCTAGTAAGACTCCCTGTATATTACAAAATATAAATTTTGTTTGCAAAGCATTTTCGCTTAATACATGTTTGACTCCATAATGCTGTTTCCGAACGTGTGCAGTATAGCTGTTATCAAGATCCAAGTTCTACAGCCTTGCATACATTTTTCTGTTAAACTTATCTGGTACGAGCTAAATAAATTTAAACTTGCCAGTGTAAACAAATCTTTTCTATGACAAAACGAACTGCCTCTATTCAGATTTAAATCCATGAATCTAAAATTGAAGCCTAATATAACATGTGCGAACTAACAGTGGCAATATATGCGATATTATACACTTATCGTCACCAGTTCTGTGGCTTTAATGGATAATGGATACAAATAAAACCTATTTCATATTTCCGACGTCTCAAGAAAGAAGCCTGAAAACTGAAATTTCTGATAGTGAAATTTATTGGGCTTCTGGATCTGCTATCGAGCTAAAGTGGAACTGCAAATAATCCGATGCGAAGTGGATCCGAGTGGTCGACATAAGTGCACTAGAATATTAAATTTTCTGCAGTCTGCAAATGGACAGAATGTCGAGAGCCGTTCATTAATTTCTTCCCGAAAAAATTTACCGATATGCTTAATTGATCAAACCGGAATTTCATCAAGCAAAATTGGACAATTATTATTACATCTAAAACTTTGCAAAGAGTTCGAATATAGGTATGTTTTAATAAAGTAAAATCAAATCTGATTTACGCAGATTGCACAAATTGGTTTCCTAAATTTAAAATTCAATGAGCCACATTTCGTGTATTTTGATAAGTTTTATGACCGAGTCTCGATGAGTTTAAGTCTCGTCTCGGATAAGTCAAAAATAGACCATTATCAATGTAAATACAGTTAGACGTGGAAGCCAAATATTCCCACTATAGCAGGCAATATTTTTCTTCCAGAAAGTAAATTCAGCTATTTAAATTCGGCTTTTTTAAGGGCGATGGAACTAAAAATACAAATTTTGCTGAATACAATTAGATTTAAAGTAATGCATCTTTTGTTGGTTCTGCATTTAGGAAGCATAAAATAGCAGGATCCTATTGAACAAAATTGAATTTTAATTAATTGTCACGTTTGGTGGCTGCGCCCTTTTTATATATTTTCCTACTTCATAATAGTAGTAATATTTTTTAGCACAACTACAGTTTTTATTTTAAATTTTATAATTTTTTTCTCTTGTTCCAGACGTTACACATTTTAGTGTATTTTTAATCAACAATAATTGGCGTTGGTCTACAAATAATGAGAAATTTCTTAATTATCTGTTAAAATTAGATTTAACTTCTGTTAAGTTTGCTTCTCTAGCTTCTGATGTCTTTTCGGATATATAAATTGGTGTATAATATTTCTTCAGTCGCTTTTCCGTCAAACTAAAGCCTGTACTACACAAGAAACCGTCAAATATAAACTCATTTACCTAATGATTACACTTTTAAATTGTCTCTTATAATGTGTTTTATTTATTTTCAGGTAATGAATGTATTTCGAGATACTTGCCGATTCTGGAGAGTGATGAATAAAAACCCCAGCAAACTGAGACGTTCCTGTAGTGACAAAGACCCGGAAAGTCCAGAGTGTGCTCGAATTTTGTGTTCCAGTGTTGTTTCTCCCAGTAGTCTGACGCCGTATAATGGACGAACAACAGGGATTTTAGGTATAAATTTAGAAAAAAATCGATTAAACCTAACCCGGATATCACTAGGCCGCAGATGGACAGAAGTTGAATTGGAGGAAGAAGACGAATCGCAAGCTCTTCAAATTACAGCCAGCCCTAGTGAGTCGCTACCGTTCAGAGCACGGGCTTCTACCGATGGACATCTTCAACATAAGCCCTGGAAATGGAGGTAAAGACAAAACTATTTTTTGCTGGAAAATCGTCTACGATCTGGTGCTGGTAAATTATTAATATTTTTTACCTATCAATGGTACTTTTTTTTTTATTTGAAAATATGTTTTAACTGCATAGACGTAAGAGCAAGTTAAACCAGCTGAAAGACAACTGTCTGAAACTATGAAAGATACTTTAAAGCTCCATGTAAAAAGTTATAAGATACATCGAAGGAAGTCCTACATTTAAGTAGATAGTGAATAACCCGAAAAATTACACGCATTGTTAATGGCAGAAATAAAATGGGCCAAATTTAGTTAACTAGATGTAAAGGAGGGCGAGCACATAGTCAGGAATAAGCCGTATTGACGAGAGGCGTGGAATTGAAAAAAATCATTTTAAAATTCAGTATGGGTGTTGGAAAATCGCTGAAACTCTCATCTTTGATTATTGGCTGTTGGCCAGCTTGATTGCTGAATGGACAAGGGTTCTTTGTACGTGCCTGCTTCGTGCAAGCCTGTTTGCTCTATAGCAGAAGTCATTCTTGATCTGGTTGATCTGAATCAGAAGGTTTTTCTAATAATCTCAAGATGAACTAAATAAAGGTATGACTAAAACTAGGACATATTCTTTACTTATGAATTATGCAGAAATAGCAGAGAAGCAAAGCTTGTTTAAAGTTTTGCTGCAAGGCCAAAATACTACTACCATTTCCAAAATTTCTCTTTTTTGCAACACAATTAAACTATGGAAATTTAAATAAAAATTGCTCATAATAAAAAATGTTGACTTTCACAGTTCAATTTATTTGCGGTTACCTTCATACTCATGAATTTACTACCAGAAAAATTGCCGCTAAAAAATAAGCGTCTACGTATTGTCCAAGTAAACCAGTTTGTTCCAACGGTCTACGGATTCCTCCTTTCACCGCGTATTCACTGTGAATAAAGTGAGCAATGGGCATCCTTTTACGACATTTTCTATGTCCGAAGATAATTGAATGTTGTTAGTGAAAAAGTTCCAAAAGATTCATACTTTCATAACATCATCAAAAGGCCCGTGCGTCATTATTGGGTTAAAAGATCTGATTTGATTTTTATTAAGAAATAATCCTTCCGGCTTCTTTGCTATTGATCTCAAAGTTATTAAAATAATGCTTCTTGAAATTTAGCGAGAATGTCAAGATATATTTTAATGAAACTTGCTGTGAATTTGTTTTATGTAAGACTCATATTTTGACGAAGCTACCGAGTTCAACCGCATTGACCAAGTGAGGAATCTGTGAGGTTTGGTAGAAAAACTACCAGACCGTTTTATTTGGTTCCTGGAATTAACTAATTTGTTTTGAGTCGGAGAATTGATATGTTTTGATATTTTTGGCATCTTCTTGCTATCCTGCAGCCTTAACCGTTTTTGTGCAAAGATCTTTTTTCTGTTTCCTTCTATTTAAATATTTCAGACATTAACGGAAAATTTCGAGGTAGAGGATAACGTTTTTTTTACAATAAATCAATTGTAAAGCGTTTTATAATTATTATCAGACCGATGTGGTGAAAGTCTTAAGCCAGTCATCCATTGGAAGCGTTTTCGTCCGAATTGCGTTCCTGCCTTCTAATGAAAAGAAGCGTACACATGATGTGTTCTTACACATCCGCCGTAAGTGCCATTAAAATCCATCTTAACAATTTCCTAATATTGCAAAACATTTATTTTAAGTTTCCGGAATGTGAACAATGAGTTAATGTCTACAATCGTTAAATGGCAAGAAATTTTATTTTTGGCTTTTTTGAAATTTTTTGAAAAAATATAAAAGTTGTAGGATTTTACAACGGCATAAAAATCTAAAAATGTAGACTAATGCACCAAGATAAAAAATGTGTTGATTCCAGAACCAAATAAAATTTCTGATAGTTTTTGTACCAAGATACTTGAGAATTTACCACTTGTCTAAAGCGGATGAACTCGTTGCTCCATTTAGATATGATTCTTACATAAGAATAAGTTACGTCAGATTTTGGTCTTTTGAGCCCAAAAACGTTGCAGTTCCTTTTTGATTATGCGCTTAACACCTTGTGTTATTAATATCTTTATGTTAAGAATATTAAACATATTGACCGAAGAATTAAATATTTTAATAAGGTGATTTAACAAAACAGAATCAGCTGAAATTTAAACTTGGCTATAGTGACACTAATAAAATTAATAATTAAACATTATTCATAACACGAACTTAATATGTTGTCGCAATTAGAATAAATCTTTTCAAATTTGTACCAATTGTCAGTGCTGCACATTAATTTTATGATACCAGAAATAATATGAAATGAGTGCTGCTGTAAATTGCAATCAAAATGAGTGTTTAATATATCTTGAACGCAAGCAAAAACAAACTTAATTACATCGAATGGTGATTCGCTTAAATCGTTTAACTAGTGTCAACATAAACCATAAATTAATCTTCCCAAACTGAAAGTTTGTAACCATTTCGGGATTGCTTAAAAAGCTAGAATAATTTATCATTAACAGCGGTGATCCGAATTGATTGTGTCGTGTATCTACATAAATTTGAAATGCTATATTTTCCACGATTCTATGAATATAATAAATCCATAATGTATTGAATGAATAATGAATGTTGTAATAATCTTATTATGGGGCCATTTCGAATTGAAAATAGTCTATCAGTATGTTATGGTTTTATAGGTATCGACCCAGCAGTTCGGCGAATTCCGCCGAAACAGTTCCATTCTTCAATGCCGACAGAAGGATGAGCATATCTATGAAAGGAAACAACGCTAGTTATTAAAGTCCATGTTTGAATACATTATTTTTTCATAGGCCTAAACTTTGCTTGTAAAAGAGTTGAAAAATCTTGATGTGCAGTAATCACTGTGGAGATTAAGCAAAAAATGTAAAATGAAAACTTAAAGAAAATTATCAAAATACCAAATTGCATGTTGAACCATTTAATGTATTGTGTCCTGATAATATCAATAATGTTAAGCATTTATACTTGTCTCGGAGCTTCTTCTCTATGTATGTACATGTTTGTGAAAATGTTAATATTAAATGAGAAAAATGTGAATTAATCTGGGAAAGTTGGTTTTTCCAGGAAACACTATTGTGGTAAAATACTATTATTTAAATAAAACAGGATACTTTCAAATAGCTCATAAATGTGCAATATTGTACTAATGAGCTAGTAATATCAGTCAGTAAATTTCTGAATTCTTCAGATTAACATCGGCAAAACCTTTTACAAATATTAGATATCCTGTAATCTTTCATACTTTAAAAATGGGGAAATACTATACGTTTTTATACCAGTAAGTACATATTAAGTAATTTAATTAATTAAGACCAATGTTTAAGGCGTATAACAATGTATGAGTACAAATATATCAATTTTATAATAACATCCTAATATTATTTAATCTATTTGAAGTGAATTTTTCAGGAAAATTAGCCCAGATAATCAGGGAAAAATAATAACGATTTACTTTTCCGCTCCATGCAGTGTGTGCAAATATCTTTAGTCGGATACCTAGATACAGGTAAGGATAAAGAGCTTATTGGAAAACATGTGCAACCTCAGAGAACAACCAAGGAAAAATCCATAACATTTAAATATAAACCCAAATTTCTAATTTTGATTGTGCATGTATTGTGCAAAGAGTATCTAAAATATTAATTTCTGCATTAGAGCTCTTGGGTTTAATGCAGTTTAATAGCCAACTCCCTGCTAAAACATGCCATCTAAAATGTCATTAAAATTTAAAGTGATCAATTTCTGTATGGTAGATTAATATGAAGGAATAGAAACAAACATTTTATACACTTATCAAATTAATCAGGAAACATTAACCTGATGCACTTTCAATTTTAAGGAATAAATGTCTTTTTAAGTTTACAAAGGGGTTTTAGTTTGAAATTTATAACGACAAACTTCTTTTCGATTTTTTATTCCTCGTTATTTCGATTTCTCCATAAACCCGCTCTACGCCATAATTGTTGTTCACCATCGGAAATATCCGAAATTTTCAATTGATGTATAATAGCTCTAAATTTGGACTTGTAACAACTAAAACTTGCAGAATTGACCGTATACAAAATTTCATAATCAGCAAAAAAAAATAAATCTGAAAGTTTACAGAAACGGTTTATAAACTCAAGTCTATTAACATTAAATTTGTTGCTTAAATTTTAACATTGTCGTTCTCTGGTTATAAGTAAGTTCTGGTGTGTAGAGCGTCATCTTTCGGAAAACATGAATGTTTTCCATTATCGATTAGTACGTTCAGGAAACGTTTCCAACACTAAGGAAAATGAATGTTTTCAGAAGCAGATTTTCCTTGCAGATTCTCAGTACAGAAATGCATTATATTGATTAGAAATTTACACGTAGTACAATCTTTGAGTGAAAGATGGCTGAACAAAGTGTGATAGTTACGGAAAAAATACTTTTGGACATTCATATTACGTTTAAGAATGTAAAAATATTAAGGTAAACGTAACTCGCAGTAACTAGCTTAAAAAAAAGGGTTTTTATTTAAAAAAACTTGTCCTCTCAGGTGTAGAGTAATGTTGAAAGGGAGAGCCGCTTTAAATGCACGAAATGTCTAGCAAAAGTGGCTGCTCCAAAACTTATTTTGATATTAACACTTTTTAAGTATTGTTAAATTCAATTTCGGATAAATCAGTTTGCAAACGAAAAAAAAGTTTACGATAAGATAAGTTTTTAATCAATTTTTCAATATTCATAATTCAATTTTTATTTGGAAACGCGATTTTTTTCGTACCAAATTTACTACCATTAGCTTTTTTTAAATACATAATTTGTATTTTTTTGCAGATGGTCCGTACACGTTGGCCACAATTGATGAGTGTATTTTAAATCAACATTTTATTGGTAGGTGTCACTTTGTTACCTGATTTTAGGGATTTTTCTTCTCATACATGGTAAAAACTCTTCTAAATTAAAACCCTGCATAACGCACAAAGACGTTTAAAATAATTTTCATTTTGTCTAATAATGGGTCCGAATAATGTTAAGTTTCATTATACAATTACAATTTTATTAATGTTATATTGTTGTAGCTCGTTTAGCTTTTTTTAAATACATAATTTGTATTTTTTTGCAGATTGTCCGTGCACGTTGGCCACAATTGATGAGTGTATTTTAAATCAACATTTTATTGGTAGGTTTCACTTTGGTATCTGATTTTAGGGTTTTTTCTTATCATACATGGTAAAAACTCTTCTAAATTAACACCCTGCATAACGCACAAATGCGTTTAAAATAATTTTCATTTTGCCTAATAATGGGTCCGGATAATGTTAGGTTTCATTATATAATTACAATTTTATTAATGTTATATTGTTTTAGCTAGTTGTCGAGTTCTCCACATCATCTCTACAACAAAAAAGGAATCAATCGTGCGGCGAAGGACCACGAAAGCGCAGAGAAAATGCATTTGTTAACAGATACAAGTAATAGTTGATTGTGATTATATGCCCAGTAAAATAAATATATTTAAATTTTTATTGTTTTTTATTATTCTGTAAAAACCCAGCGAGTTAATGTAACTATTTTCGACTAATGTCCATTTGGCTAATGATATTATCTTTCTGGCTTATTTCCTGGATTTTCTAGATTCAAATTCCACGTTTGTTGGGTTCCTCACCAAACAGTTTTAGCGTTTCGTTGGTCGCGATTACTGTCTATTTTTGTTTCTGGCAATTTCTTCTCGCTACCTCCTTTGATATCCTGCTCTCCTGATGCAAACCGGATTGCAGTCAAAACACAAATTAGTTCTAGCATTACATTAGTTGCGATTTGCGTATATTTCTTCTTATGGTTTCCTAGTAGCTACCTTCACCAGTATTCTGCTCTCCTGATCCAAGTGAGATTTTCGTCCAGGCACAAAATTTTGCTATTAATGTCGATTTATTGCCCTGATTTTTCCTTGTTGCTACCTCCTTCAATATTCTGTTCTCCTGATGCAAATTAAATTTTAGTCAAGACACACAAATTAGCAAAAGTACATTTTAGTAAAGGCATGCAAAGTACTTTTAGCGTTCCGTTATTTGCGATTATTGTCTATTTTTGCTTATGGTAACTTCTTCTTGCCACCTCCTTTGATATCCTGTTCTCCTGATGCAAACCGGTTTTCAGTCAAAACACACAATTTAGTCTAGCGTTACGTTAGTTGCGATTTGTGCTACCTCCTTCAGTATTCTGTTCTCCTGATGCAAATTAGAGTTTAGTCAAGACACAAAAATTAGCAAAAGTACATTTTAGTAAAGGCATGCAAAGTGCTTTTATCGTTCTATTATTTGCCATTATTGTCTATTTTTGCTTCTGATAATTTCTTGTCGCCACCTCCTTTGATATCCTGTTCTCCTGATGCAAACCGGTTTTCAGTCAAAACACACAATTTAGTTCTAGCGTTACGTTAGTTGCGATTCGTGTCTATTTCTTCTCCTGGTTGCCCTTGTAGCTACCTTCATCAGTATTCTGCTCTCCTGGTCCAAGTTAAATTTTCGCCCAGACACAAAATAGTTCTAGCGTTACGTTATTTGCTATTAATGTCGGTTTATTGCCACGATTTTTCCTTGTTGCCAGCTCCTTCAGTATTC